TAGATAGATAGATAGATAGATAGATAGATAGATAGATAGATAGATAGATAGATAGATAGATAGATAGATAGATAGATAGATAGATAGATAGATAGATAGATAGATAGATAGATAGATAGAATGTTATCTACTTTTCCTAATTCAAAGCTGTAAAAGGTTAGCATCTTTGTTCCACAGAGAAAATCTAATGAAAAAACCTGAATATACCGTATTTTTCGCTCCATAAGACGCACCTTTCCATAAGACGCACCAATTTTTAGGAGAAGAAAACAGGAAAATATAATCTGTTTTCTTCGCTCCATAAGACGCACAGACTTTCCACCCCCGTTTTGTGGGGAAAAGGTGCGTCTTATGGTGCGAAAAATACGGTATTCATTGACTAAGTATATGTGAAATGTATCAAAGACTATAATTTTTTTTCTTGTTGTGGGTGCAAGTTTTTTTTTATTGTTACCATGGTCTTCACTTATAGCATTTCTGTTTCATGCATATTTCTAAAAATTGTTTTATTATTGTAGCACTAGTTTGGGAAACACAATCAATTCTTTGTTTCCAAAACAAGCATCTATAAATGGCACCCATCTGTATAAAATGTTGAAACCATGAAACTTGCCAGTCAGTTACTGTTTCCCAATGTAGCTTGCAGGTACAGCTTGTTTTGTTTCTATTAATTCTTATTTCTCAGAGATGTGCAAAATACTATCCACAAAATTTTTATTTAGTTTGCTAAGCTTTGTTGTTTTCAATATGTGTATTTAGTATCATGAGACAAGTTGAATTTTATGGCCAAAATCTTACTAGTTATGCCCAAAAGGGTAACATAAACAGCATTAAAATGATTGTGGACATCATCTGTTGTGCACTGAGTCACACGGCTCAGAATGCAACAGATAACATCTACACCGGCTTCTTTAACCAATTTCTTTTGAAAAGTTACACCATTTGTGTTATGCTTGCAAGTGTAACTAATTGGCATTGGGCCGTCTACTTATTTTTATTGTGTTTATCCTCTGGAAATTCAGAACAGCACATAGAAAGGGTATCCCCTTTTGTTTTCATAACAGAGCTGTGGGGTAGAATAGGCTGGAATTCGGCCAGACAGGGCTATAAACCTGCCCTAGACAATGTCAGATATTTTTAGCCATTAGACTGTGCAAGTCTTACCAGTATATTAGTACATGCTATCAATCACCTGGAGCTATAGTCAGTATAAAAAAAATGTACAAATGATAAAACTGTTCTTATAACCTTAGGTTATATTCTCTTTGGGACACCCCTGTCTTCTAATCAATATTACAGTATTTGACTTGGCATGATCCTTTAATCTTTCCTCTGTTGTGGGCAGCACTACAATACAAACCCCTGTTTATCATAAATCTTGATAGCTCAAAGCAAATTGGACATAAATCTTTGTAGGATTGCATCCTGTGGATTGAATTAACAAAAGGTTTTTCCCTGTTGCAGTAGTTGTTACTAGCAACCAAAGGTTGACCACATAAGGAAACCAGGAATGTGGAGTCACAAAATTACTTTGGGAATATTAACTCTCAAAGTTGTGTATACTATTTCATTTCTAAGCCTAGAGACATCAGTATCAGGGAGCAATCTTAGGCTGAGAGAGCAAAACAAAAGACTGCAATGAAACCAATGGCTCAAGAGCAAGAATTCTACTTTTTTAAGCTGTTTTGAAAAGTAACATTGTAATGTTGCTGAGTTTTTCACTACCTATGTCTTGGAAATTAGAGCCAAGATTTTGATGTAGGTTAGCATATTTATATCCCTGTCAGTCACATTACAAGGTCTTTTTACTGAAAGAGAGCTGATATATTTTAAACCTGTAAAAAGTGAATCATGTCGTATCACAAAATAAATAATGGTGCCATTAAAGCAGAAGCCACAAAAGCGCATAGGCAAATTATTCATCCCTTTAAACTGTCTCTGTGTGTGCATGCCATCCTCCCTTTCCCCAGAGAACAAAGGCAGTACTTTAAACTGTTACAGTCCTAAATGTGGGCAGATTAATGTCTCTAAAGCCCCTAATATTACATGCTCCTGCATACATATTTCACACAATGGGAAATTATAAATAAGACCATAAATTGAACTTGGTGATGGACTCAGAAGGTATTTAACCTGACTCTCTGCCTGATTCTCAAAGAGCATCAGTGTTTCTACAGCTAAAAGAATTAGCAGCCACATATGACAGAAAGTAAATCTGTGAACCTAGTAGTTAGAACTGGTAGGAAGTTAGCCAGTACCAAACTTGTTTCATGTAATGTTTGTTCTGAGATTTTTGCTTTTGCTTGTCCTGCATCAGATACTTCTTTGGTTAGATGCACTGACTCTGTATTTATAGTTTGTAGTAGTTAGAGTCATGATAATAGTACAACAGAATATTGCATCTTGCCACTCACAGTAATAATTTCATTATCAAAGTTTTCTCTTAGCGTGTGTCAAAATGCCTAGTATACAAATACAGCAAAGCTTAGTGCTAGGGAAAGTATTTTGAGAGTCTCTACTTAGTGGTGGAAGTATGCTCTAATAACCTTTTGAGTAATATGATGAAATGGTCAGTATTTCAAAGTTCTGCCAGGCCAGAATCTTGTTGGTGTAAGCTACACTGTGCAGATCCAGTGACATCATCAGTTATGGCCATGCCAGGGCAATTTCAGGAGAATTAAGTTTCCCACTACTACCAGGCTTCAGAGATCCCCCTAGGAATGTCCTTCATTCTTGGAAGCCTTTGGGAGTTTTCCAGTAATTATTTTCAAGTATTATCAGACCACTGTTAAGGACAAACCTTGCTGATGGAAAATCAGCATGGCTTCTATAAGGGTATGTTTTGCCTCACAAACCTTTTGGAATTATTCAAAAAGGTCAGCAGGCATGTGGATGTGGGCAAACCAGTGGATATTGTCTGTCTGGATTTTCAGAAGGCATTTGACATGGTCCCTCACCAAAGGCTGCTAAGAAAACTCCACAGCCAGGGGACAAGAGGGCAGGTCCTCTTATAGATTTAGAATTGATTGAGAACCAGAAAACAGTAGGTGTCAATGGACAGTTTTCACAATGGAGAGAGGGGAAAAGTGGTGTGCCCCAGGGATCTGTCCTGGGACCAGTGTTTTTCAACCTGTTCATCAGTGACCTGAAGACAGGGATAAGCAGTGAGGTGGCCAAGTTTGCAGATGATACTTTTCCAGGTGGTGAAGACTAGAAGGGATTGTGAAGAGCTCCAGAAGGATCTCTCCAAACTGGAAGAGTGGGCGCCAAGATGGCAAATGTGTTTCAATATAAGAAAATGTAAAGTAATGCACATTGGGGCAAAAATCAAAATGTTATTGATCAGCTGATGGGTTCTGAGCTGTCCATGACAGATCAGGAAAGAGATCTTGGTGGATAGCTTAATGAAAGTGTCAACCCGATGTGCGGCGGCAATGAAGAACGCCAGTTCCATGCTAGGTATCATTAAAAAGGGAATTGAAAATAAAACAGCCAACATTATACTGCTATTGTACAAAATGCTGGTAAGACCACACCTGGAGTATTGTGTACAGTTCTGGTTGCCGCACCTCAAAAAAGACATAATGGAACTGGAAAAGGTGCAGAAGAGAGAAACTAAAATGATGACTGGGCTGGGGCACCTCCCTTGTGAGGAAAGTCTACAGTGTTTGGGGCTCTTTAGTCTGGAGAAAAGATGCCTGAGGAGGGACATGACTGAGACATACAAAATTCTGCAGGGGATGGATAAAGTGGAGAGAGGGAAGCTTTTCTGCCTCTCATGCAATACCAGAACCAGGGGACGTCCACTCAAATTGAGTGCTGGGAAAGTGAGAACAGACAAAATAATATATAGTACTGTATTTCTTTACCCAGCATGTTGTTAGTTTGTGGAACTCCTTGCCACAGGATGTGATAGCATCTAGCCTAGATGCCTTTAAAAAGGGATTGGACTAATTTCTGGAGGAAAAGTCCATCGCAGGTTACAAGCCATGATGGGAATCAATAATCTCCAGGTTTGGAAGGAAGGTACCTCAAAATGCCAGATGAAGGGGAGGGGTATCAGGAGACAGGTATTTAGTTGTCTCGTGTGCTCCCAGAGGCATCTGGTGGGGCCACTGTGAGATACAGGAAGTTGGACTAGATGGGCCCTTGGCCTGATCCAGCAGGGCTCTTCTTATGTTCTTACTGTGCCAGTCAAAATCTTGCAGTAAAAAGAATTATGCCAGTTTTATACCTTTTTGCTGACACAGACAACTACTTGCCACATTGTTGCTACTTGAGTTGTTGTTGTTGTTGTTGTTAGCCATCAGGTCAATAACAATTTCCAGTTATCCTTGTCAGGGTTTTTTAGGTACTGTATTGAATACTCAGAATTGATTTAGCTGTCTCTTCTCCTGGGATGCACAGTGGGGACTTTAACTCCCAGTCTGTACTTCACTCACTGAGCTTGTCCAGCAAGACTGGTGTTT